TTGGATGATAAATTAAAATGGAAATCTCATATTGAACATGTTAGAAAAAAGATGGTTAAAAATATTTATATTCTGGGTAATGTCAGAGATGTACTAGATTATAAGGCAATGCGTATTTTATATTTCTCACTAATTTTCCCCTATCTTAGTTATTGTGCTGAGGTGTGGGGGAATACATATGCGACTTATATACATCCTCTATACTTGCTACAGAAGAAAGTGATACGAATGGTTCATAATGTTAAATATAGAGAACAAACAAATAATCTGTTTATAAAATCGAAATTGTTGAAATTTGAAGACTTAGTGAAATTACAGACTTTATTATTCATGTTCAAGGCAAGAAATAATACATTACCTCTGAAGTTACAAAGTGTGTTTGTATTGTGTTCAGGAAGTGGGGAGAGCAGAAGGAAGTTTGACTTTAAGCACCAGTTTGACCACACAAAGACAAATGTGTCCGACAGTTAAGGGTATACGAATATGGAATTCTCTTCAAGATAATCTCAAGAGTTGTACAAACATGCACCGTTTTAACATGTGTTACACACTTAAAAGGATAAATCAATATGAAGAACATGAAAGTAATTTGGGCTAAATGTGGAAGGAGAACATTTCATTGCCATTTAGTAGTGCTGTATATTGCTGATTATACTGATTTGTTGTTTAGTTTTGCATTGTTACACAAAGATACATGTTAGAGGGTTTTTTTGGGTTGTTGGCGCCCTCTTGTAAGAATAATTGGATTGCAGATAGGGGGCAGGTGCTAACAAGAATTTATCCTTCTTCCTGCTCCTTTTCACCCACGGGTGCAATGTTATATTTATGGGAAGGAGGATCTGTGTGTAGGAAATGAAACACTGTTGAACCATTTGTGAAATAAATAAAGAAATGAAATGAAAGAAATGAACTTTTGATCACACCTGCCATACAACAGCAGAACTGGTGCAATGCTGTGTCAAGCTTTCCAAGTGTAAAGCTTCTTTGTTAAGCTTCTTTCAGCTTTTGAAATTTTGTACATTCATGCATTTAATAAGTTTAACTTAAGCACAACAAAATTATTCTCCCCTGCTAATTTGTGCTGTAGGTTTTAATTGTTCAACTTAATTGTATATGTAATGTTCTGCAAATCACTAGTTAAGTACATTTATATTGATCTGTTGGAGAATGCAAACAGTAGATGTAAAAACCCATTTATTTGAGTAAGAGTAGAACCATCGACCAGATGTTTTATGAAATCAAAATGAGAAAAATAAAGCAATACATTTGTAAGAATTTGACTTGGGTTTGAATCCTACAGACAGGTTAAAGAAAGGCTTTGTGTTGGTCTTTTCATTTTAAGTTAAAAACACACAATTATTTGTTTTCCTGCTTACCAGGTCAGTCAGAGGTGAGCAGCAGCAGTGGGGAGTCTGAACCCTCTGGCTATTACTACCAGGGTGTGTGGCGAGCACTAGATGGTTCCACAGTTCACCAGTTCAACACTTCCTCAGCCATCACTCAGTGTCTGAAAGGAAAGGTGGTCCATATGTATGGAGACTCCACAATGAGGCAGTGGTTTGAGTACCTTAATGCATCACTACCAGGTAGCTCTGCAAACCCTTCTGTACACCAACATTATGATGTTCACCCCATTTTATTCATGTAGCTTAACTTATTCCCTTTGGAATTCTTTTAGATCTAAAGGAGTTTAACCTGCATAGCCCCAAGTCTATCGGACCTTTAATGGCGCTGGACTATGCAAACAATATCTTTGTGACGCACCGCGCCCACGGTCCTCCTCTGCGTACTGTCAGTGTCCCCTCCATGGAGCTGCATTATATTGCCAATGAGCTGGACAATGTGGTTGGAGGTAGTAACACTGTAGTAGTTTTTGGCATCTGGGCACACTTTGACAATTTCCCTATTGAGTTCTACATCCGCAGACTGATGTCCATTCGCAGGGCAGTGGTAAGGCTACTGTCCAGAGCTCCAGGCACTGTGGTTGTCATTCGGACTGGAAATCCCAAATCTTTTACACCCTCTGGTGCATTTGTCAACAGCGACTGGTACACTTTTCAGCGGCTAAAGGCACTCAGGGCTGTGTTCAAAGGCTTCAATGTCCATCTGGTCGATGCCTGGGAGATGGTTCTGGCCCACCACCTGCCACACAACATGCACCCACAACCTCCAATCATCAAGAACATGATTAATGTTCTTTTATCCTACAT